AACCCTAAACCCCTAAACCCCGGATCATGTGTCGATGATGCAAAGACGTGGCGGTGGCACATTTGCAGGAACCCTCCAACAGCTGTTGGAGAAGATGGCTAACATGCCGAGGCAGAAAGCTGCCAGGCTAGCGGGCTTCCTCAAGCAGATGCTGAGGGACCAGCAAAGGCAAGCGCCGCATCTGCGTCACCCGGTGCTAGTGAGCAGAGTTGAAAGCCTGGAAGCGTTGATGTCCGTGTTCCTGGATGAGGAGGAACAATTCCATGGAGACGAACAAGAGTGGTGCATGCAAACGTGGCAGTCAATGTTACCGTTCCTGGAGGGTGAGACTGGTGAAAGGGATGAGGGACCAGAAGCAGACAAGGAAAAGCCAGGCCCTAGCTCAGGACAAGCTGATGCCATCGAAGTGGTGGATAGTCAGGAGCCGACCGTGGAGGATGGCAGCAACAAAAAGGGGGTAAGGGAACCTGATGGTACACAAAGGAACCTTACCGAGGAAGAGGAAACGATCATTGCCGAGAACGAGCTGATGGAAGAGTATGCGGCCGACATGCTCCGGGAGGAGGACGAGAAGATGCTGGACAACTTCACCAGCACCGACCTGAGAGAGTGGGAGACATGGGCAGCCAGGGCTGGACGAAGTGGACCGGGAGTCAACAGGGCCAGAGTACAGGTGCTTGTACAAGGTGAAGGTGGCCGTATCATCAAGAAGGAAAATTGGCTTGTGGGGCTGAAAGACGGCGAGTCCCTCTCGTACAGCGTCAGTGTCAACCAGGCTGAGTCGGAGGATGAGGAGCCAAATCCTACTGCTGCGTCATCTAGTGATGTTGCAGGTGGCGACATTGGGCCGCGACCAAGTGGTGAGCCTGCTGTGGGAGGATGTGATGGGCCTGATCCTGATGGGCTGCTGGCGGTCACAGGTCTCTAAGCACCTAGCATGTGGAGCGAACACGATGACTCCAGGCCGCGGGACTTCTCGTTGGATGACTTCATGGCCACCCCCATTGCGGAGAAGTTTTATCGATTGTGGGTTCGTGGTGAAGTCACGGACAACCTGATAGGCAGGCGCTTTGGGTATGGTGCTCTTGGACGCTTCTATGGCAAGAGGGACTGGGAAAGCAGTGTCTTTGACGGAATGGAGGACGAGCCGCCGGATGTGCTGGCAACAGGGAGCTTGGCAAGTGAAGGAACGGTGGCAGCCGCGGAGAGGGAGAATGTGGAGAATGAGAACGTGGGCGCTGGTACTGGTGGACGATCGGAGGTGGAAGGCGTGGAAAATGGAAGTAATGGTGAGGCTGATAATGGTGATGCTCCGGTGAGTTCGGTGGCCACGCCAGGAACGGGGACATCTGAGCGGGCGGTGAGTAGCACTGAAGCTGGCTTTTCGGGGAGCAGGCAAACCAGTCTGTCCCACTGGTTGTTGTAAACGGCCTGCGAGTGAGGGGATTTCCTTCCGGTTTATTTTCCTGGGACCGTGTCGTAAGACATCTTCGTGGATTCATGCTTCGGAGAAATGGTCCGCCAAAAAAAACAACCCTAAACCCCTAAACCCTAAACCCTGAACCCCTAAACTCTAAACCCTAAACCCCTAAACCCTAAACCCCTAAACTCTCAACCCTAACCCCTACAATGAATAATTACTTGATGGCCGGAGGCCTAAGCCTTAAGCTCGCAGGGTTATGAAGGCTCAGCACTCGGAATGTTGTATGCGCTAGGTGGGCCCCCACCCGGTAGTAGTAATTATAAAGGATAGTAAGGACTATTTTAGGGTCCCCTTATATTCTCAATATACCACTATTACAGGGTGGGGGGTCCTCCTAATGTATGCGCGATGAGCGATGAACTTTAAGGGGTTCAGGTAGCTACACACCCCCCAAACTAACATGGAAACCCATATAACCCCCCTTCTAGAAGGACTGTAGTCTGTATAGGACCCTTTTTGGGTTTCCATGTTAGTTTCCGGGAGTGTACGTACGCTCCTGTTTGTACTTTTCAGCTCGCGGGTCCTTTGCCCACGTGCTGATAACCTGTGCCTGTTTCAGGTCTGTGGAGACACCCTAAACCCTAGACCTTAAAGTCCATGGCCCACGAGTCTTCCAAGAGAGGAGGGTGTTCTTGATTTTCCTTAGCCAACATGAAGGCTCCCAACGCCAATGTTGTCAGGAAAAGCCTTCAACTTTCATTTGAGCTATAGTCTAAACTCCTTAAAAGGGGGCTATATAGGGGATTATATTTGGGGGTATTGTCGGGTTTATCGAGGGACTGCTAAGAGCTTTGGGTAAATCATAATAAGATCCCCATATACCCCATATTCTATCTACTTCAGGGGGACTATAAACCGTAGACACTAAACTGTAAAATGAGCGGGCTAGGAAGCTTCAATACCCAAGCCTTCAGTTTTTGGGCAGGGATCCTTCTTGTAAGGAAGTTAGATCCTGAAACCGTTAAACCTCAGACTTTAAACCCTGGGTCTACCCTAAACCATGTATAGGGTCCCTTGCAAAACCAACTCCTAAACCCTAAACTAGCAAAGACAGTCGCGCAGCTGAGGTCGAGTGGCTTTGTACAGCTATGCATACGGCTGTGGAAGTGGTGACCTGTCTGTCCATGTAAGGTTCACAGATGGGTTTAGGGTTTAGGGTCTAGGTTGATGCCGGGGCAGGACAGACAGATGTTATGACCAGATTACAGCCTGCATCCCCCTGTATCTACCTGCTATGGAGAACGCAGCTGTTTCCTATTTTGATGTTTACAATCAAGTTCATTCCTAAACCCTAAACCCTGAACCCTGAGCCGTAAACCCTAAACCGTAAACCCCGACCCTGAGGTTTCTAGTTTGTCGTGCTGAGGGTGAGGTAGCCCCAGGTTTTGGCAGAAGTCACAAGTTTGTCTGCGCGTACATTGTCATATACAGACTGCGTGCCCTCTTGACTCGCGCAAGTAGGGCTTAGCATGTAGAAGGGTCCCTGAGAATCCGTCTTTTCTTCTGAAATGCCCAAATGAGGCTGCGGGGAGCCGTATCCACGACGCTGCTTTGCACCCTTGGCACGAAAAGTACAGCATTTAGGGATAAGGTTTTGGAGAGGTAGCAGCTGTGATGTCATACGGCTTCAAGATTTCGTCTTTCAGAGGTCCAAAGCTCTAATTGGAAACCCAAGGGCTCAACAGCTCATGGGTCTGTTTGATCATCTGGTCTTGGACCTTGCATGCCCGCATTCATACGTACATACATGCATCCAAGTTACCTTTGTCTTCAGAACATCGATCGAGATTCGTTTTTGAAGAATTAGAACGAGTTCAAAAAACAGAGCGTAGCTAGTCACTCCCCCAACTATCAACCACACCCTTGTATGAAATATATCCTATGAAGCTCAAGCCCTAGACACTAAACTGGGTTGCTGTTAAGGAACTTAAATTACGTTCCTATATTGGGGAAACCCTATTATTTACTATATATACCCAATATAGTAACTTAAATTAAGTTCCTTAACAGCAACCCAGTAAAGTGGGCAGGTCTGACGATCTGCACTGACGGGCATGTCCTCTGGAGTCCATAACCGGGTAAGGGCCGATGCATGCGGGGGAAGCCCAAGGATCCTGTTTAGGGTTTAGGGTTTAGGGTTCAGGGTTTAGGGTTTAGGGTTCAGGGTTTAGGGTTTAGGTTCTGAGAATTTTGGTGTACCATTTTGGGGGTCCTCATAATAAGGATTATAGTATATTGGGGTTTATATTGGGGTCCCTTGTTTTTGGAAACTACCATTTCTGTTTTGGCATCTATGGCATAGGAACATGGATGCAAGGCTTTTCAGAGGGATGTTGTCCGCAGTGTGGCCCAAGCTCTAGCGATCAGATTCCGAACTCCGTGAAGTTGCCATGGTGCGTGCAATCTTCTTCCTCCAGGTTGCGGTATGGCTCATGGCGGACCATGTTGGAGCAATGTCAACAACACTGCCGGAGTCCTGTCGCGATGAGGCTTCCTGCGAGCTTCCGTTGCTGTGACAGTTGTTCATGAAATCCTGCGCTTCTATGATCCCTCAGCATGCCTGACAAATCAAGGAACAAAGATGAATTGTGTTGCGCTGTCTAAGCCTCAAACCCTCAGCGTTAAGTATTACTGGTTTTTTAGTGAAGCTTTTTGACATCATCCCGAAGTAGCCACTCAGAGACACCCTGGAACCCCTCAAACTCCTAGAGCCCAAAGCTACCCAGTCTGCAGAAGTTTCCATACTCGTGAGTCCACTTGGGAAATCTTTCAAGCTGTATTCTTTGGAGCAGCAGTTGGAGGATGAAGCTTATTAACACAAAACAAAAACAGCATTACCCGTGTTTTGGCTTGCCTATAGCACCCCATGTCATATATTCCCTTGTCCCCTACTAACCCTGAACCCTGAACTCCAAATCCTAAAACCTAAACCCTAAAGCCCCAATGTTCCCTTATTCACTACTAAGCCTCAGTAAGAAAAGTCTGAAGACCGACATTGTTGGTTCCAGAGGTCTGAGACTCGCGGTTTAGGGTTTACGGTTTAGGGTGCATGTTAGCTACCCACAGGTCATTTCCAGTTACAGTAACAATGTTGTTTGGGGTTTAGGGTTTGTGGTTTATAGGTTTAGGGAGTTCTACTAGCCCCTTAACAACCCTAAACCCGAGACTTCGTTCCTTTAAGGACAGTTACTGGGAGGGAGATTTGCATTCATAGGATTCTTGACAGGGATTACCCTACACCCTAAACCCTAGCTGCTGTAGGGTTGTGCTCCCTGAAGCAACCACACCCGGCACCCTAACCCCTAAAACCTGCACTCTAAATCCAAAAACCAAAAACCCGTAAACCAGAAAGCCTCAAGCCATGTTCTAGCGATGAATACCGCAGAAGCAGACGAAAAGCCCAAGCACATGAACACTCCCCGCCAGAACCCTGCGCAACTGGTTAGGGTTCAGGGTTTAGGTTTTAGGGTATAAATCCAAAACCCCCACTACCACCCTAAACCCTAAACCCTAAACCTATAACCCTAAGCCTAAACCTTCAGCCTAAGTCCCCACTCCCTGAACCCACTTAGGTTGACCCATGCCGGTGACGAGATGTCGGCCCTGCAGGCAGAGGTGCGCCCGGCTTGGGATGCGGAAAAGGCCGGGCCTGCGGCTGGCTGGAGGGTTGGGGTTTAGGAAAATAAAATGGAAACTACTATAGTATATTGGGGTTTATATGGGGTTAATGGAAAAGAAAATGGAAACCACTATAGTTTATTAAGGTTTAGAGTTTTGGGTTTAGGGCGTGTGTGGGGTTTAGGGTTTAGGGTTTGAGGTTTAGGGTGGTGTGGGGGTGGTTGGAGGGTTGGGGTTTATAGTCTCCCTTTATATGGAATATGGCTTTGGGTATGTTGTAATAAGATCCCCATATACCCCATATTCTATCTACTTAAGGGGGACTATAGGTTTTTGCCTGAAAGTTGGAGTTTGTAGGGTTAAGGGCTTAGCTATCGACGTTAGGGGCCTTAGGGTTTATACTTCCAAAACATGTATGGTGGTGTCCCGAAATCGAGGGTCCTACGTTTGGTGATAATTATACACCAGCCATAGTTTGTTAGGACTACCATGCCCCCAACAAGCACCTCTCAAACTGTTCAGGCGTGATGTGCCCGAATAAGCCTTTGTAAGGCCCAAGAATCACTAATAAGGTCCTTAATTTGTGGGGGCCCGTATACTGGGAGCAGAGTATTTCCATGATAGTTTCGATAAAAGCCAGGTTCACAGGTTGGAAGTATGGCCTTTGTCTCTAGAGGAGAGTTGTGAGACGCCTTTGGGGTACATACAGGGAGTGTACTTGGTGTATTCTGGTAGCGAAGCCTAAGCCCTAAGCCCTAAACCAGGTACATGAGAAGATGAAGGAGAAGAAAGCCAAAAAGGCCGCGAAGGCTCTGAAGCGCAAGAGGGGACTCAAGAAGTTCCTCAAGCACTCTTGGAAGCACAGGCTGCACCACTCAGCCCTTCAATGGGATGCCGAGAAGGCGGGGAGGGTTTAGGGTTGAGGGCCTTGAAGCCCTAAACCCTATATATCCCTAAATAATCCTTATATCACCCTATATAATCCTTATAGTAACCCCTGAAAGTTCGATGTCTGTAGGGCTTCGAGCCTACAGACAGGGATTGAGGATTGGGCTGAAAAATTGGAGCTCTGGGCTCAGAATTATTGGTTTGGGTAGGCCTTTGGGGATTAGAGTAAAGGGTTGGCAAGGGCTCCTCAGAATCCTTTCCAATATGAGCTATGGTCTAAACTCCTGAAAGAGGGTTACAGAAGGGAACAATTTAGGGAGTATTATGGGGGTTACTATAGGGATACTAGGAGTTTAGACTATAGCTCATATAGACCTCCAAATACGATGATCCTTATGATTGGGACCCCCAAATGGTACACTACCCCGAATTTTGGGAAACCCCTAGGCCCTAAACCCTGAACCCCAAGCCCTAGGATTAAGAGCCCACATCAGGGGTTCATATTTGTCCATGGCTTGAAATTTAGACAGATACGAAGCCTGAAGCCTAAACCTAAACATTAAGCCAGGATTATCCTTGGAGGCAAGGTCCCATTTACAAAACAGTAAACCAGGTACATGAGAAGCTGAAGGAGAAGAAAGCCAAGAAGGCTGCGAAGGACCTGAAGCGCAAGAGGGGACTCAAGAAGTTCCTCAAGCACTCCTGGAAGCAGAGGCTGCACCACTAGTTTCTGGGTCCGTTTGAGATGTTTTTGTTTTTTGCTGGACAGGGTTGTTGCGGGTCAGAGTTATGTATAAGGATTTGTTTTTTTTTAGGAGTATGGGTGCCATGACATGAACTCAGATTCTATTGTTGGTGCAATGGTTGCCATGATGAGTGTACACAGGGTTCCTTATAAATACGGTGAGAATAGATGTTAAGAGCCCAGTCAACGGCATCAACGAATAAAGATCTTACCCTCCGCAACTACAAACGGACCCCTTTGTCTTCCTGGCAGAAGAGGGACTAAGGTTAAGTCACCGTCTCGCCTGCCTCACAGTCAGGTAGGCTGAGTACCCGAATTACATTTTACACCCGTCTGGTAGCATGCTCGCCCAAAGGGCTAAGCGGCTACCAGCGAGCATGCCATGCGGCTGCAAGCACCGGAACCCCAATCAGAAGGGTAGACCCGAGAGCATCCCCCATTCGCAGAAAGTCTCCCTTGCTTTTGCTGCTGGCAAGCTCATTCGATTAGACTCATGCTGACGCCTGATGGATACTCAACACTTTTCCGGAGTTCAGTCTATTGATAAGACCCCGAATATAGATTGTGACAGGGTGTTGGCAGTACCCAAACAGTACTGGTAATTCTCCGTACAAAAGTCTACATAACCCAAGTTTCCATTTCGTTTTCCATTCCTTATTCCATTTGATTCTTCACCATTGGGTTAGTACCCTAAACCTAAACCCTATATACCCCCCGTTGAAAGGACCTACGCTTTCCATTTCATGTTGCGTTACCTCTTCCATTTGATTCTCCAGTATTGGTGTTCCCCTAAGCTCTACACACATGGGTTGTTCTCAATATTAGGGTTTAGGGTTTAGGGTTTAATATTATGGGCCTCTTTTGGTTATAGATTATATGTTACGGCACCTAATATTTAGGGGTACCAAAATGGGGCCCTAATTGTGGGAACTGCCCACATGTCATTTTGGATTTCAGGACAGGAGGCCCCAGGAACCTTGCGAACTTTTCCTCTGGAGGCTTCCTAGAATTCGGGGTTCTTTTGGGTGTGCCTGTCACAAGGACTGTAAGATATTAGGACATCCTTACTTTGGGAAACTACCATACCATACTACAGAACTCTGGAAGGATCTACGGCGTGGGAACCCTAAACCCTAAACCCCCCCAAACCCTAAACCCTAAACCCTAAATCCTAAACCCTAAAGCAAGGCCCTTCAGAGGGATCTCGGGAGACCTTGCTCCTCCATGGCAGTGTTGTCCGCAGTGTGGCCCAAGCTCTAGCGATCAGATTCCGAACTCCGTGAAGTTGCCATGGTGCGTGCAATCTTCTTCCTCCAGGTTGCGGTATGGCTCATGGCGGACCATGTTGGAGCAACGTCAACAACACTGCCGGAGTCCTGTCGCGATGAGGCTTCCTGCGAGCTTCCGTGGCTGAGTACGAAAGCTCAAATTCCTATCAAGTATCAAGGAATACAGTTGTTCTTTCCTATTGTCCTACGCCCAACCGCTCAACATCAAACCCTATTCAGTTCTAGATCATCAAAAACGTGATCCCTAAGAGACACCCCTGAAATGCCTCAGACTCCGAGGGTCCTCAAAGCTATAGAGTTTTGAGACACTCCCACCCAAAACGAAAAACCCAACCCGAAACCCTAAACTCGGAACCCGCAAACATAAACCCTAAACCCTAAGCCTAAGCTCCACTTCCTGAACCCACTTAGGTTGACCCATGCCGGTGACGAGATGTCGGCCCTTCAGCAGGCGGTGCGCCCGGCTTGGGATGCAGAAAAGGCCGGAGCGGGGGTTGAGGGGGGGGCGGGGTGGTGGGGTGTGTGGGCGGTGTGGGGGTTTGGGGGGGGGGGTTGGGGGGTTGGGGTTTAGGGCTTAGCGTTTAGAATTGGAGTTTAGGGTTTAGGGCTTAGGGTTTTGAATTTTGGGTTTGGGGTTTAGGGCTTACGGTTTAGAATTGAGGGCTTAGGGTTTAGCATTTGGGGTTTAGGGTTCAGGGTTTTAGAAATTCGATGTTTGTAGGCCTCGAGCTTACAGACAGGGATTGAGGGTTGGGTTGAAAAATTGGGGCTCAGGCCTCATTGCTGAGAATGAGAGGTTTGGGTAGGCTGCTGGGATTAGGGTTTAGGGTTTCGGGTTTAGGTTGGCAAGGGGTCCTGAGAATTGTTCCCAATCGCGAATTATCTAGGTGTCAGGAAACGAAGGGTCCTACCTTTGCTGCGATGTTGGAAGTGAATGTGGGCCTCAGGAAAACTTTCCTTTGGTTAGTTAGGAATGAAGGAATGGATCCTTATAGTAGTCCCCAAAAACCCATTGTAGCAGTTTCCATTTTCTTGTCCATTCCTTCACTCTCAGCTAACTAAAGGCAAGAAGAGGGGGGTTCTTGAGATCCTGAAGTACATACAGAGGTTATGAACTGGTATATATATATTATATATATATGTATGGCAGGGGGATGCGAATATAGACCCCAAACTGCTATACTCCTTATTATTGGGACCCCCAAAATGGTACCCCTAATTTTCGGAAACCTCCCGGCCCTAAACCCTGAACCCTAAACCCTAAACCCTAGGATTTAGAGCCCACATCAGCGGTCAATGGCTTGAACCTTAGACAGGTAGCGAAGCCTATTGCTTAAACGCGGTTTAGGGTTTAGGGTTTACGGTTTAGGGGTTTAGGGTTTAGGGTTTAGGGGTTTAGGGTTGAGGGTTTAGGGTTTAGACCCAAAACATTAAACCAGGTACATGAGAAGATGAAGGAGAGGAAAGCCAAAAAGGCCGCGAAGGCTCTGAAGCGCAAGAGGGGACTCAAGAAGTTCCTCAAGCACTCTTGGAAGCACAGGCTGCACCACTCAGCCCTTCAATGGGATGCCGAGAAGGCGGGGAGGGTTTAGGGTTCAGGGCTTTGAAGCCCTAAGCCCTATATATCCCTAAATAATCCTTATATCCCCTATACAGTCCTTATAGAAACCCCTGTGAGCCCGGGCCGTGAGGCAGCTCTGGAGCCCAAAGCCTTTCGGCGGGTGACAGAGCTCCCAGTTCCACAGGCCCGGCAGGCCGCTGGCGAGTAACCCGTCAGGTCGGCCTAGAATGAGGTGCCCCAAACCTTTCACCGAAGCAATGCATCCCTCTTTTTGAGCTTTTCAGGTGAGCCAAGCAGCCCGAAAGCGGCCAAAAACAAATGAGTCTCAAAGACTCTGCCACAAAGCCTCTCAAGGGCCTCCCAGGCCCCCCAAACCCTGTCCCAAACCCTCCGCAGCACCTCAGGTGGCCCTCCAATGGGCCTCTCAGGCCTCCCAGGGCCCGCCTTCGCCTCGAACCACAATTCGGACCTTTTCCTTCAAACTCAATGACCTCCTACAGCTTCCAAGACTGATAGGTACAAGTGATTCAAGGGTTGATTCAGAAAAACCTCGAGCCAGATCAAATCTAAACCCGGAACCCCGCGTGAACAGGCCTCCGTGGCTCAAGCCTTGACGACCTCCAGCCAAGGCTCTATCTTGAAGAAACAAAAAGTTTTGAATCAGACAGCCTAAACTTGCACCCGCCTGTCCTAGACGGGTCCATTTATTCAGGATTGGAGGCATCCCGCCAAGGCACCATCTGAAGAAAAGTAGGCCTCGAGCCAGCCCCTGACCCAGACCTTGCACCCGCCTAGTCTGGACATGACCTGGTTCAAGGCTCGAAGGACTCCAGGCAAGGCTCAATCTCAAAACGCACAAGAAACTTTGAGCCCGACCCAGCCCAAACCTTGCACCCACCTGCTCTAGACAGGTCCATTTATTCAAGTTTGGAGGCATCCATCCAAGGTGCGACTGAAGAAAATTAGAGGCCCCGAGCCAGATGCCTTGCACCCGTCTAGAATGGACAGGTCCACCTGGTTCAAGGCTCGAAGGCTTCCAGGCAAGGCTCAATGTCAATAAGCGCAAGAAGCCTTGAGCCAGACCCAGCCCAAACCGTGCACCTGCTTGGTCCAGACAGCTGCAAAAAACAAATAAGAAGACAGGAGCACGATCGGAGTTCGAGAGAGCCCTGAACCCGTAAAGGTCGAGGCAAGGGTCGAGCGCCAGCGGGGGTGGGCTTGCAGGTCAGGGTGCGTGCCTTTGTGCTTCCCGCAACAGCGCACCCCTTCACTCAGAAACCCTAAATCCTAAACAGTTTAGGGTTGGCAAGGGCTCTTCAGAATCCTTTTCAATGACATAGGGTGTCAGGAAACCGAGGCTCGTGTACCTTTGGTGGGATGTTGGAAGTGAAGATGAGCTGTTGTCTAAACCCCTTAAAGGGGGCGATATGAGGGGATTATGCAGAGGATTCTCTTAGGGCTATGAAGGGGGATACCAGGAGTGTAGACTATGGCCCATATGACCTCAGGAAGACGCACTTTTGGTTAGCTAGGAATGAAAGAGTGGATCTTTATAGTCGCCCTTAAAAAGCCCATTGTAGTAGTTTCCATTTTCTGGGTCCATTCCTTCACTCCCAGCTAACCAAAGGCAAGCAAAGGGTGGTTCTTGGGATCCTGAAGTGTATGTAGGGTTTAGGGTTTAGAGGTGATAACCTAGCTTTTGCGAGTTTCCCCAAACAGTGTACAGAATCCCTAATTTTGGGAAGCCTCTCAGCCCTAAAATCTGAAGTTCGAATCCTAGGAGCCCACATCAGGGGTCCAAATGGGTCCATGGCGTGAAATTTAGACAGATACGAAGCCTAAAGCCTAAACATTAAGCCAGGATTATCCTTGGAGGCAAGGTCCCATTTACAAAACAGTAAACCAGGTACATGAGAAGCTGAAGGAGAAGAAAGCCAAGAAGGCTGCGAAGGACCTGAAGCGCAAGAGGGGACTCAAGAAGTTCCTCAAGCACTCTTGGAAGCAGAGGCTGCACCACTAAGTTTCTGGGTCCAGTTGGGCTGTTTTTCTTTGCTTTCTGGACAGGGTTGTTGCGGGTCAGAGTTAGGTATAAGGATTGGGGTGTATTTTTTCGGAGTATGGGTGCCATTGCATGAGCTGAGCTTTCATTGTTGGTACCATGGTAAGTGTACATAGGGTTCTTTGCGGATTCGGTGAGAGTAGACGTTGAGCCCTTTGTCTTCCTGGGAAGAGGGACTGAGGTTACGTCACCGTCTCGCCTGCCTCACAGTCAGGTAGGCTGAGTAGGCAAGGTGGCGGGGAATACCCGAATTACATTTTACACCCGTCTGGTAGCATGCTCGCCCAAAGGGCTAAGCGGCTACCAGCGAGCATGCCATGCAGCTGCAAGCACCGGAACCCCAATCAGAAGGGTAGACCCGAGAGCATCCCCCATTCGCAGAAAGTCTCCCTTGCTTTTGCTGCTGGCAAGCTCATTTGATTATACTCCTGCTGATGGATACCCACCCCTTCTCCGGAATTCAGTCTATGTGGAGCTGGAGGTGTGCTCAGATTTAGGAGCGGTAAATAGTTGTTTTCATTTTCTTTTCCTTTCTCTCTACATATACCCTACATGCCCTAAGCCCTTTACAACCCTTCGCAACCCTGTATAACCCCTAAACCCCTAAGCCCTAAGCCTTCAACCCTAAGTTCAGATTTAGGAACGGGGGGGTGTATTCTTCCGGAGTGCACAAGGTGGCAAAGTGACCAGCTTAGAAAACATCGGTGCAGCCCCAGGCTTTCACCATGGAGAAGCCTTCATGCCTGGCTTTATGGTTTGGGCTTGCAGGGTTTAGGATAGGGGTTATATTGGCATAATGGAAAAGAGGATGGAAACTACTATTATCTAGGGTTTAGGGTTGAGGCCTTTCGGGATTTAGGGATGAGGGTTTAGGGCTTGCGGGTTAGGGATTAGGGTTCAGGGGTTAGGGATTAAGGTTTACGGTTTAGGGATTAGGGTTTAGGGATTAGGGTTTAGGAGTTAGGATTTAGGGTTGAGGGCTAAGACTTCCTTGAGCTTTTGCCTGTAGGGCAGGGAGGAAGTGTTACTGAAAGTAGCGGTTTGGGGTTTAGGGTTGAGGGCTTTGGCAGCCTATGCCCTACATGTTTTTTCTCCCAGCTGAGGGTTTATCAGGAGCTCTGGGCATATGTGTATACATATATATATATATATCTATATGACTTCATGCGTGTATGTATCGTTTATCATGGGGGTCCTTATACAGGGCTTATATAGTAGGCCTTCGTTTGAGGAGCTCCTGAATCCGAATTGCAGCATCCTAATCCGGCCCTGGGGCCCCAAGCTTAGGATTTATACGACAAACAAATCGTGCTCTGAACCCCCTAGCTTCTGCACAAATCTAGGCGGAGGGCTCCTAAACCCTGCACCCTAAGGGTTTAGAGTTTAGGGTTTCGGGACTCGGTTTTAGGGATTAGGGTTTAGGGATTAGAGTTTAGGGTTTCGGTATTAGGGTTTAGGGGCTTCCCCTAAACCCCTTGAAACCCAAAGTCCCCAAAACCAAGCCTGAGCCCGCAAACTGAAACGATCTATTTGTGACCAGGTTTACTCGGAACCCCAAAGAGCCTTCAAGGCCTTTTGATTTTGGGGTTTAGGGTTTAGGGTTAAGGGCTTAGGGTTTAGGGTAGTTTGGGAGGAGAGCCCTAAGCCCTGGATTCAAAACCCTTAAACCTCATACATCCCTTGCCCCCCATATACAGGGAAGGTCTGAGAATAACTGTTGGTTTCTATTACTTCTAGTCCCCATAGAAACCCTGTACAACGATAACAGGATACTTCTCATAGGGCCCCTCAAATCTACCCTAGCATGCATGGTTGGATTTCATGTTCGATTTGGGGAGGGTACACGTTTCATTGAGGTGCCACCGCGCTGGCCTCCAATTCTTCCAGGCGCTGTTTTGGAGATGATTAAGCGAGGTTTGCAACCCTAAGCCCGAAACCCAAAACAACTGTAGGATGCCGATGGAGACTTAACTGTAGTTGTAACCCATCTATCTGCCCCCTGGGACCCAACATGTTTTAACTGGGTGATTAATACAACTAAAAAAAGATTGCAAGTACCATGCGTCTCCGAGTAAAGTTGCCCTAAACCCTTAAACCCTAGGATAGAGAAAACCTTGCGCCACTTAAGGTCCATAATTTGTTGTGGCCCCAAGATATAACATTTATGGGTGGTACAAGATTTCCTCTAAACCCTTGTCTAGACCCAAGTCGCTCAAAGCCTTCACATGCCCTACGCTCTAGGTTCCCGCAAAATGGCGTGGTCCCCTGTTGACTACTGTTGCTGTAAATAGTGGGGGAGGGTACATCCTGCCCTATAGGCCCGAAGGCTTAAACATTAAACCTCACAAACCTAAACCCTAAACCCTACGCACCATGTTCCCTAGACCCCAATACCCTAAACCGTAAACCCGACGCAACCTATACAGTATACCCTAGGCCCTTAGCTCTAATCCCCAATTCGTTTTTGGAGGCCCTTAGTCACTGGAGTCGCTGGAGATGCTCCTGTTTCATGGGAGTCGGCGGCTAGGCTTAGGGTTTAGAAATGTTTAGGCTTTAGTGTTTAGGGCTTAGGGTTTAGGCTTTCGGGGCAAGGTCCCTACCTCCCCGTAGGCTGCATCTGGGTGTTGGGGGTTTAGGGTTCAGGGTTTATTGAAGTTGTACAGGGTTTATGTCAGCAGTTTTGATCAACTTTTGTGCAGTTTTTGTTGTGCCTGTTCCTATACTGTTCATATTTCTGCTCTACTTGAGGGTTAAGGGCTAAGGGTGCGGTCTTAACCATGGGCCCCTAAGAGGGGCCCCTCCCTGTTTCCTGGGTCCTAACCCTTGGCCTTTACTTAGGATTGTAGGGATGTTTTTGGACGTGCTAGGTGTGGAAGTACCCCAGGATCCAGGGTCCATACTGTTGATGGATGAAATCTTGCACCACCTAGGGGCCCTAAATTATTGTAATTCCTAGGACTTTAGGGACTTAAGGTGGTGAACGAGTTCCTCCATCAACAGTACCAAGGGCCCATAGTTCCAACCTGAGACGGGGGCCAAAACTCGGCAGTGCGATCCAGTGCAGACAAGTGCCAATATTCTTCCCCCATAATCTTTATATGGCTATACTATACTACACCCCCAAAACCCATTGAAAACAATAATAGGTCCCAACATTCCATGATATTCCATGCTTACAAAACCTAAATAAACCAGTTTCCATTTCCCTGCACATTAATAGGCCCCTACACTGCCCCTCTGTCCGAAGAACCACAAAGCCCCTGAACCTAAAGTGTGTGAGAAGCCTAGTGTTTTGGTTTCAGGGTTTAGGGTTACCCAAAACCTAAACACTTAAATCCTAAACCCTGATCCCTAAACCAAAACCCTAAA